CCAAGACCCTAGCGAGCCGTCCCACCCTGGCTCTCTAGATCTACTCGGCTACCTGCATCTGAGCTTAAAATTCATCTACTGGCAAACTGGCTCATGGCTTCATGAGACATTGTCAAGACACAAATAAAATGGGTTCTGTACCAGTCAGGGACCATTAAACGGTATGAGCCAGAGACCCCGTTCCAGCCGGCTTAAGAAAAAAGTAGAATATATTAGATGGTGACACAGAATGGTCCCGGAGTAAATCGATGTGGGGTACACATTTTATTCCAGGGACCCCGTACTGTACTTCCACATCCCTCACTCCTTTCTCAGCTCTGCTTTCTAAGTGGCTTCTGTCTCACCCCCACATGCTACATCATGCCTCTCCACAGCTCCGGCCCCCACATCCCCTCCTGCTTACATAGGGTGGGAAATCCACACAGGACCAGTTGGGCTCAATCTCTCTGGCCTGAGCCATCAGTCACCAGGGGGACCCAGAAAGTGACATGTACTCACTGGTCACGGCCGAAACCATGCCCCACTCCTGAGCATCCTTCAGCTACCCAGCTCTGAAAGGGTTTGGCTTCATTGGAGGGAGGTGGTCATCAAGTACCCCAGAGGGACACCCAGGCGTGATTCTCCAGAGAGGGGAGTGGGTGATGGGCTGCCCTGTGTCCTTTGCCTTTTCTGGGGCAGGAAGTGTTGGTTGTTCAAGAGAGCACCGGGAAGCCGGAGTGGGGAGTGGATGGGGTGGGGGCACACAGACACGGGGGGCTTTGCATCACAAGAACCCAGCAGACACCATGCTGAGCATCTCCACCGGTCAAACTGCTGTCTTCCCAGGACTAGAGGGAGGCTTCTTAACAACCTGCAGTCTGCACAGGGCACAACCTGGCTTGCTGAACGTGAAGAGGACTCGAAGCACTTCCTGATGCAGATCAAGGACTGCAGCCTGCAGTATAGATGACAAATCAATGGGAAGAGAGCCCAAATCCTCACCAGTGGACCAGCAAACAACACACCGATAAAGAGAAATGATTGAAGTTGTCAACAATTTCAGTTTCCTTGAATCCACAAGCGATACTCAAGGAAGTCGCCGTCAAGTTATGGAGGGAGGTCTTGCCCTGGGAAACTCTGTGGTACACGGTCTCTTGAAAGTGTTAAAGAGCAAAGATGTTTCTGTGAAGACTAAGGTGTGTCTGACCTAAGCCACGTGATTTTCACCTGCCTCGTCTGCATGTGAAAGTTGGATGGGGAGCAAGGGAAACCGCGGCTGAGTCGATGCGTTCGAATCATGGTGTTGACGAACCATATTGAAAGGGCCACACTGCCAGAAGAGCAAACAAATCGGCCTTGAAAGAAGTACAGCCCTAATGCACCGTAGAAGTGAAGAGGCTGACATTTGGTCTCATGTACTTTGGACATGTTATCGGGAGAGATCGTGCTCTGTAGATTAGAAGGTCAATGACAAAGAGGAGGCCCATGAGATGGGCTGACCCTGGGTGAGGATGGAACAGGACCGAGGAGACTTTCCGCCTGCATCTAGCTGCGACAACATGCAACACGTGTCTGTACCTCACGCATCCAACCAGCGCTCGCTGAGCACGTCCTGAGTGCTGGGCGCTGTTTTGGGCGCTGGGAGACAGCATGAACCAGACATGCCACCCCTGTGCACGGAGGAATATTCCAGGGGAAGATGTGCGGATAATTCAACAAGTGCAGGAGCAACGTGCTTTCGTGCAGGAAAAATGCTTTGAAGAAACCAGAACAGGAGGCCAGAGAGCTGACCAAGGACGATGGGGAGAGATAGCCATTAGGGGTTGGGCGCAATGACAGGTGGGAACTGAAATGATGACCAGTGGGAATGGGGAGCAGTGGTCTGTGGGACCCTGAGCCATCTGTTGGACCTGGTGTGGTGACCAATGGGGAATGGGGGAGGTGACAAGGAGGGCTGGGAGCCATGGCAAGGGTGACTGGGAGATATGACTGGTGGGACCTGGAGCATTGGCTGATAGACTTGAGCTTCATTTCCAGAGGCCGACTGCTCTGAAGTCTGGCAGCCACGCCAGGCCTGCTAGGACACAAGACAAGAAGTGGAAGAGGTTCAGTGCTGAAGGAGTCCTGCCCAGCTGTGGGGAGAGGGCCAGGAGGCTCTGAGCAGAGGTGGCCTTCAGGGGGGCTCTTGGAGGAGTGGGCTGGGTGGAATCATGCAGACTGAACTGGAAGCTGCATTTCTAGGACAGGGCCCCACAGCCTGTGGGAAATTGGCAAGAAGTGATTGCAGTGTGGTGACGGCTACAGTGTTTTTGGGGTGAAAAGGGGCAGTGGTCACTACAATTGGAAAGCAGCTTTTGTGTTTTAAACTCTGCCACAGTGCCAGGGAAGGTGACACTCACTCCTGGACCCTGTGGGAGCAGAGGGCACTGCCTTTCCCTGACAAGGCCCCGTCTTTTCTCTAAGATATTCGCCCCATGATCCCCTGGGCAGCCCTGTGGTTCTGGTCCAAGCAGGAGGCCTAATTAGCTAGTATCTATTGAGCATATGAGTCAAAAGAATTCTTTGGAGCCAAATTTTCCCCGAGGCCCCGCCTAGGCCTTAGAACCAACCGTGCCCTGGGTAATTCTGGGCTCTGGGCAGCACCTGGTACATTGTTGGCACCTCCTGAGGGACCTGTCAGAAGAGATTGATTTTTCTCCCTCCAGCGTTGCAGAAAATCCTTGCTGCCACTAGAAACAGGTTTCGGGTTGGCCTGAGGGACAGAGAAGCATCCCCACCCTGCCCTATGGCGGAATCCCAGCTCCAGACCCAGCGGGTTACAGATTGGGCAGTTAAGCAAAGGCTGGTGGTTTGAACTCGCCAGCCTCTCTGAGGGGGAAAGAAGAAGGTGTCTGCTCAGGTAAAGATGTACAGCCTCAGAAACCCTCCCGGAGCAGCTCTACGCTGTCCTGCCCGCTGGCTCAGAGTCAGGAGTGACGACAACAGGTTTTGGTGTTTTCAATGTTGGCTGCTTGCACACACTCCCAAGACACCACAGCTGTCCAGCAGCTGAACTCACCTGGTGTGCTGAGTGAGCAATGGCTGACCTTGCACAGAACTGAGATTGGCTGCCCTGTGATGCCCCCTAAACTGGGGTCCCAGACCTGTCCTCTGACCCCCTTCATTTCTGTTACTCCCCCTACACCAGGGCAGCCCTGCAGAGCCCAGGGGTCAGTGCCCTGGGACCCAGCAACTGCCCATGTGGAGGCTGAGAAGCTCCGGCTCGTTCAGCATCATGCCCATGTTGGCTCCCTCCATTAGACATGCTCGGTTTTCTCTGCCCCGCTCCTGAGACACAGCCCAGCCTTAGCTCAGCCCGGAAACCCACACAGCAAGCCCACCCCTTTCTTACGGTGAGCAGCAGACCTCCCTTAGCGGCGCCGCAGGGTTTTTCCGCGCTCTGTGTTGGGACTGGCTTCGCGGGTTCTGTTGGGTCGGCTTTCCTTCGCATCGCATGTGTGATTGCCTGAAGCCTTTGTCAGTCTCTCTGGTCTTATGATTTGGCGATTGGTTCTCGTGAATCACTAACATGGCAGGCATCTGCCCGCTTCGGGCTGGCGTTCGCCATGTGTTCCAGTCTGTGGAAGTGATTGAATCCTGACTGGTCTTCCCTCGCATGCTTCCCTGTTTGGCACCTGAACTGACAGGGGACAGACTTCAGCAACACCAGAGCCTTCTGCTGCCCAGGTGTCCCTCTTCCTGGCCACTCCCTAGGGTTGAAGGTCCTTATTAAGCCCTCCACTCAGGCCACAGCCCCAAGCCGCACCGCTCTTCCAGATTCCTCTCTCAGTGAATGGCCTCTCCGTCCACATGGTCTCCCGGAAACTGCCCTGGGATCATTAGTCACCACTCAGCCTTTGCCAGTTTTACTCTGTCGCTGTGCCTGGCTCCTCCTCACCCCTCCACCACTGCCCTCATCTCTGGCCTGGCTCTCCACAGTTGCCCCTCTGGACCTGGTGTCCACTTGATCCCAGATCATCTGCAGATGTGTCCATCCGTTCTCCTAACTCCCCTGCCTACGTGCCTCTTAGTAGCCCCTCTACTCACAGTCTGAATGCCTTCCTGGCCCTGAAGGCTCAGCGTCGGCCCGACCCTGTAGCTTCCCCTCCAACCACACCGCTCGGCTACGCTTGCGTCCTTCCTGGCCCACACATTGCAGGACTCCACAGGTGCTGCGCCCAATGCTGGCAGGCCCTTCTCCCCAGCCTCTCCTAATGAATTCCACAGCACCCAGCACTGAGCTTGTCTTCTCAAGGGAGACTTCCTTGAGCCTGCACCCATGAGCAGCTCCACTTGGGTAGATCTCTTTTCCTTCCTTCTTGACTCCTTTGCCGCACTCACCCATTCACCGTTCCCTTCCAAGGTGCTCCATCTCCTGGCTGCTTCTGCCTTGGTCCTGCAACTGCCAAGGGTGCAGGAGTCGCCCCTGCCTGCACCCCTGTCCTCCCAAGGCCTCCCTCACGGTGGGAGCAGGAAGTTCCATGGCAGAATTATGACCTTCGTGCGGAGGGCTCAAGTCTGATTTCCAGCCAGGGTCCCGTAGCCGGGCAGCCTCCAGCCACTCAGGATTGGAGGCCTGTGTGTTGTTGTGAGGCCAGACGGGTTTGTGGACAAAGACACCAGAAGGAAGGCCTGGTGATCTGCTTCCGGACATCAGTCAAGGAAGACCAGATGGGTCACAAGAGCCCAGTCTGCAGGCGAGGAGTTCTGCATCAAGGGCGTTTTATCCAAAGACCCTGCCTCTGCCTCAAACGGCCAGCCCTCCATTGCCCTGACTCCCGAGGCCCCAGAGGCTGGCCGGTGTGGGAAGCTGCAGCTTTCTGCTGCTCAGGCCGTTCCTGAAGGGTCCCACAGCCGGAGGCTTTCTGCAGACCAGGATGCCCGGCCAGTGGTGCACTGGGGCCAGTTCACACCGGCTCACAGGAGCTGAAGAATAAACTTTCAGAAGGGTTGCAAGCTGGTGCTGAAACGGTTGGTAGTTTGTGCTCGTTTTGGCCGCACGTACACAGAGACTGGACCCACACAGAGAAGATTGGCAGGGCCTCTGGGCAAGGATGACGTGCAGATTCGTGCAGCGTTCCATATTTAAAATACAATAAACGAAACTGCTGGCAGTTTAAAGTTGGCCATGGTAACATTTATCCGACAAAAATTGGAAAATATTATCAAACAGGTGTGTGTGGGTATGGATGTGGGTGGAGAGAGAGAGAGAGATGGCTTACCAACAGCCCACTCCCTTTAGTAAGTCCGTCTTTGGAAGAACCCCCAGGGCCACCAGTCTAATGGCAGGTGCGGAGGATGTGGACGTTAGGTGACAAGCACTCTGGCAGCCCAGATGAACTAAGTCACCCCCGAGAGAGCCGCTGGTTGCCCTGGCAACCAAGAAAGACTTCAAGGAGGTGACTTTTCCCCCTGACAGGGTGTAAGAGGTGCAAAAAGCATTCCCATGAAAAGTCAGGGTCCTGCCCTCCTCTCCGCTAGCACCAGGGCACCCATGTCCGAGGTAGCCACTCTCATCAACCTCTCAGATATGATTTCAGAGAGATCAGTGCTCTTATGAACATACATGCACCGGTTTTTGTGTCCTTGCACAAAAGGGCCCTTGGCGTGCCTTTCTGCACCGCGCTTTCCTCTATTAACCATATGTCTCCCAGCTCTGCCCTCAGCACCACACAGAGAGGCCTCCGTCGTTGCAACAGCTGCCGGATATTCCGTTCCACCTGAGAACATGTTCGGGTCATTTATACCATCAGTCCTCACTGATGAGCATCTAGGTTCCTTCAGCCTTCTGGGGATACCTTTCTGAGCCCCCTGTGCAGTTGGTACCTAGTCCTGGAATTGCTGAGTCAATCTCCTACACGGTGATAGAGGCTGGATTCCTAAATAAAGAAACAGTAGGAGTATAAGAACCAAGAGGAGTGGAAAGGATGAACGTGCTCAGGCTACAGGATGGGATGGAAGAGCACTGGCCTTGGAGCCCAGGAGGATGGGCTCAGGCCTGAGCCCTGCCATGTATCCTGGCACCGAACAAAGTGTCAACCGGCGTTTGATAGAGGGGAAGCAGGATATGAAGTCTCTGTTCACGTGGACATCCACAGGAGGCCTGACCAGAAACAACTGGCGCACGCAGACCAGGAAATTAAGGAGAATTTTAAAAGGACCCTCCTGTCTATCAAGTGATGGATGAATCAATGAAATATGGTCTTTGCAGTCAATGGAATTAAAGGAAGGAGAAGAAAAAGGCACACAACCACAGCCATGACTCCGACACTATCGGACAAAGTAGAACTTCCCACGAGGATTTCTGGGGTTGGAAATCTTTATGGAAGTAGACGCTCATGTTGTTCTTCGGAGGTGCAGGTGGTAGATTTGAACCACTCACGTGTTGATTAGCAGGATTCTTGAATGGAATATTACTCAGCTGTAAGCACTGGTACACGCTACGACATGGGTGAACTTTGGAAACCTTATGCTCAGTGCGAGACACAAACCCCACACATTGCGTGATCCATTGATTAAAGTATCTATAGCTGAGTAGATGATGCTGGGCGATCCAATGCACGGCAGAACAAAACGCTGCCCGGTCCTGGGCTGTCCTCACCGTTGTTCCGATGCCCAAGTCCATTGCAGCCGCTGTGTCCACCCATCTCTGTGAGGGCCTTCCTCTTTTTTCCTGCCCCTCTACTGATGGCTTTCTTCAGGGGTTGGTCTCTCCTGACAACATGTCCAAGGTATGGAAGACTAAGCCTTACCTTTCTAGCCTCTAACGAGTACTCTGGTCTCTGGTCTTACTCCGGCCAAGACTTTTTTTTTTGGCCTTTTAGCAGCCCATGATACTTAAAAAAAAATTATTAATCATTTTATTGGGGACTCTTACAGATCTTATAACAATCCATAATTCACTTGTACATATATTGCCAACGTCATTTTCAAAACATTTTCTACTTGAACCCTTGGTATCAGCTCCTCGTTCTTCTCCGGCACCACAATTCAAATGCATCCTTTCTTCTGTGGTCGTCCTTATTCCATGTCCAACTTTCACATGCATGTGAGACAATTAAAAAAATACTATGGCTTGGGTCAGGCACACCTTAGGCTTCAAAATAACATTCTCACTTTCCAATACTCTCAAGAGCTCTGTGCAGTTCATCTCATTTACCTAATGCATGTTTTGATCTCTTGACTGCTGCTTCCATGAGCATTGATTGTGGATCCACGCAGGACAAAATCCTCGACAACCTCAGCCTTTTCTCCATGGATCATGATGTGACCTGGTGGTCCAGTTGTCAAGAGTCCACTGAGTTGTAATCCACACTGAAGGCTGCAATCTTTGCTCTGCACCAGCCAGTGCTTCAAGTCCTCACTTACAGCAAGTGAGGCTGTGTCATCTGTGAATCTCAGGCTGTTAATAAGCCTTCCTCCAATCCCAATGCCACATGTAAGCCAGCTTCCCTGATGGTTTTCTCAGCATACAGATTGAACAAGTGTGGCGAGAGGATGCAACCCTGACACACACCTTTCCTGATTTTAAACCTGGTGTATTCCCTTGCTCAGTTCACACAACTGCCTCTTGATCCGTGTACAAGTTCCACATGCGGAATTCCCATTCTTCTCAAGGGTGTCCAAACTTTGTTATGATCCATACAGTTGAATGCCTCGCATTGTCAATGAAACACAAGTAAACATCTCTCTGGTATTCTCTGCTTTGAGCCAAGATCCATCTGACATCAGCAATGCCATTCTTTGTTACACAGCCTTTTCTGAATCCATCCTGAATCTCTGGCAGCTCCCTGCCAATGTGCTTACTTTACTGGATGATCTTAAGGACAATTTTGCTGGCATGTGACATCAACAATCTTTGTATAGTTTGAGCATTCTATTGGGTCATTTTTCTTTGGAATGGTTACAAATGTGGATCTTTTCCAGTCAGCTCGCTAAGTAGCGGTCTTCCACATTTCCTGGCATAGATGAATGCTTCCAGTGCTTCATCAGCCACTTGAAACATCTCGATTGGCGTTCATCAGTTTGTGGAGCCTTGTTTTTGGCTGATGCTTTCAATGCAGTTTGAACTTCCTTGGTGTGCGTTCCTCTGCTACCTTCTGAAATGGTTGAATGCTAACTGATTTTTTGGGTATAGTTATTCTGTAACTTCAATCTTCTCTTGATACGTCCTGCATCACTCAGTAGCTTGCTCCTGGGATCTTTCAAAACGCAGCTGGAGGCTTGAATTTTCTCCTGAGTTCTTTCTCTTTCAGATGTGCTGAGTGTGATCTTCCGTTCTGGTTTTCTATCTCCAGGTCTTTGCACACTTCATGATCATATTTGACTTTGTCTTCTCAAGCTGCCCTTTGACACTGTGTATGCAGCTTTTGGACTTCATCAGTACTTCCATTTGCTTTAGCTACTCTACGATTAAGAGCAAGTTTCAGAGTCTCTTCTGACATCCACACCAATCTTGTCTCTCTTTCCTGTCTTTGTAGTGACCGTTTTCTTTCTTCATTAATGACATTCTTGATGAGGTCTTTCCTTATTAGTTTTCAGTGCCTCAAATCTCATCTCAAGGTGCTCTAGACATTCAGGTGGGATAGACTCAAGGTCGTACTTTGGCCCTCGTGGACTTGTCTTCACTTTCTTCAGCTTCAACCTGAACTTACAGGTAGGCCACTGACGGTCTGTTGCACCGTCAGCCTCTGGCTCGGTCTTAGTTGCTCATATTCAGCTTCTCCAGTGTCTTTTCCAACAGATGGAGTTGATTTCATTTCTGTGTATTCTGTCTGGATAAATGCATGTGAAAAAAAGGTATTTGCTATGAACACGTCATTGGTTTATACAAAAGTCTGTCATGTGGTCACCAGTTTCATTTCTATCACCAAGTCCATATTTCCATTTACGGTTCCTTCCTCTTTGTGGCCGACGTTTGCATTCCCCTTCCCATCAATTACTAATGCATCTTGATTACATACTCGATCAATTTCAGACTGAAGATACTGGTAGAATTCTTCAACTTTTTCATCACTCACTTTTGTGTTTGGTGCGTAAATTTGAAGAATAGGTGTATTGATTGGATTTACTTGAGGCTGATAGATATAGTCCCATCACAGACAGCATTGTATTTCAAGATTGATTTTGCAGTGTCCTTTTTGACAACGAATGGAATGTTATTCCTCTTGATTGTGTACTTCCAAGCAAAATAATTCATCTGATTTTTCTGATTCATATGGCCAATACCAGTTTCAGCTCACGAATGCCTAAGAGGTTGATTTTTATGTGTTCTATTTCATTTTTGATGGCTTCCAATTTTCCTAGATTCATACTTCACACATTCCAAATCCCGATTGTTAGATTTTCGCCGATGTCTCTTCTTACCTTGAGTCATGCCCCATCAACAAGGGAAGACCCAGCAGTCTCTGGTCCTACCAGCCTTCCTCCATTCAGGTCAGCATGGTCTACCTTTCAACTGCAGAGGTCTGTCCTCTCACACTATTTCTGACAATGTTTTGCTTCCATTATTAGGCCTTCAGTAACTGACAATATTTCAAAACGATACGTAAGGTTTTCAGAAGCGACTTCCTCCAAAGGGGGCAGCAGACTCCTTCTTCGTTGTCTGCTCTTAGTCTGCTCTCTCTTTGGGTGACCCTGCTGGCATTTGAAATATCAGTGACACAGCTGCCACCATCACAGCAACCCATAAGCCACTATGGTGTGGGAAATTTACAAAATCAGGCCATCTTACTACCCACAAACCTTTAGACCTCCTGAGTCTAAAGCATAGAACCCAGATACTTCTAATGGAAGTAACCCCCAGGCAGCTCAGAGGCTAGCAGCCACCCTGGACTTGGGAGCAAATAGTCTGGCTTTGGCCCTCATGCAATTCCTTAAAATGTGTTGTTCTTCTGTTCTTAGGGAAAGGATTGGGTACCTATCTGAATGGCCAGGCCAGGGCTGTTGTGATTATGTCCAGCTTAATTAGAGCATAATGCAATCACTGAAGCTCTCAAACTGCAGAGTTTGCAGAACTATCATGGTGGATGGGGACACACAAATACCGACAGGGCCTTCTAGCATCCAAGGCAGTGGGATTTCCTCTTG